CCTCCTCCTCCTCCTCCTCCTCCTCCTCTTCCTCCTCCTCCTCCTTCCTCCTTCTTCTAAAACAGGGTTTCTCTGTATAGCCCTGGCTGTCCCGGAACTCACTCTGTAGACCAGGCTGACCTGGAACTCAGAGATCCACCTGCCTCTGCCTCCCAAGTGCTGGAATTACAGGTGTGAGCCACCACTGCCCAGCCCAGACTGGTTTCTTGTGTTTACCATAACGTGTCAGTGAACTAACCTATGGGATTAGCCACATGTCAGCAGCTCTTGAGGTCTTTCAGGACCAGCTTGATCCTCTGCCCTCAGCCTTTCTCCAAAACTGCCAAGCCTGGCCCTGGGAGAGGGATGCTGAGTCTGTGCCCATCCATCAGGGACAGTGCCAGTTGGGAGATGGTGCCCTGGAGAGGCACTGGGTCTGGCTCTCCTGGTTACTAATTCTCCTGGGTCCAATCACCTGCTTAACTCTCTCGTTTTGCTTTTACTTACTTAATGCTCTTGTGGAATTGTTGCAGATTACGGATCCTTAAAGCCCCAGCTAGTGCTGTCTCAAGAATATCAGTTTTCACCATCAACACCAGTGCCTGTCTACGGCTCTCAAGGACTTCTCAGTCTGCAAGAAATGTCACTCTCCAGCCTCAACCTCTTTCGATAACTGCTCCTCCCTCCAAAATGCTGCTCAAGCCTTTTATGACTTACTGTTCTATGACCCTACATAGGTTAAGCAAAACCAGCCAGAGTACCCCCAAAGCCTCTCTCCACCGTGTAGCTGCCCAGAAGAACAGAGTTTCATCTCTGTCATTGATTTGACATTGCTGACCTGGGGGGAGATGGGTCTAGAAACCAAAAGGCCAAAAAAATAAAAGCAAAAGGCCTGACTCCAGCAGACAGACACTGACTCTCAGAGTTTTCCGAGCGACTTGTGATGCCTTAAGTAACAACTCCCAATGACCATGACCCTCGCCACTAGTGACCTTGGTTGGTACTTACAAAAGTTACTACGTAAGAGGCGGTGAGAGGCTGGATTTGCTCTTACAGAGGACCTGGCTCTGCACGTTAGGATGCACAGCCGCTTCTAATTCCAACTCCAGGGGATCAGATGCCCTCTTCTGGCTTCTGTAGGAGGGCACTCACCTACACAACTCCCACACCGCACCCCACACATATACACATAATTAAAAATGAAATCTTTAGCCGGGCATGGTGCTACACACTTTTAATATCAGTACTCAGCAGGCAGAGCAGGTGGACGTCTGTGAGTTTGAGGTCAGCCTCTTCTATACAGTGAATTCCAGGCCAGCCAGGATTACTTACTCTGACCTTGTCTAAAATAAAACAGAATAAAAATCTCCAAAAAAAGTAAAAAAATAAAAAGGTAAGCAGGGCAGGTGGTGGCGCACGTCTTTAATCCCAGCACTCGGGAGGCAGAGGCAGATGGAGCTCTGTGAGGTCAAGGCCAGCCTGGTCTACAGAGTGAGTTCCAGGACAGCCAGAGATACACAGAGAAACCCTCTCTCCAAAAACGAAACAAAACAACAACAAGAAGAAGAATCTTTAGGCGCTGGAGAAAAGGACTAGGCAGTAAGAGCACTTGCTTCTCTTGCAAAGGACCTGGTTTCCGTTTCCAGCACACATGTGGTGGTTCAAACCGTTTGTAGCTCTGGTTTCAGGGGATCCAACGCTCTCTTCTCACCTCCACAAGCACCGTGCAGCAAAATCACCTTCTAGAAAGAGGAGAGAGATTTCCACTTTTACCCATACAAATGAAACTCTACACAAGCAGCATGAGATGAAACTAAACAACTTCTCTTAACTATTATGAAAGGAACATTTCTTCCAGGGAGCGACTTTATAATAATTCACCCTTTTGCCTCTTTCTCTCTCTATCTATCCTACAGAATACATTATTAAAATTTTTATATCCAGCTCTGGAGAGATGGCTCACTGGGTAAGGGTGCTTGCCACCAAGTCTGACAACTGGAGTTTGCTTTTTCCACATGGTTAATGGTTCTCTTGTAGGAGAACTGGCTCCTACAAGCTGTCATCTGACTTCCACACACACACCGTGGCAATACACACCCCCGAGCAGAAAATAATAAACTGATTAAATAATAAACTGGTTAAAAAACTTTAAAAATTTATTTATTATATATACAATGTTCTCCCTGCATGTCTGCCTGCGGGCCAGAAGGGGGCACCATGTAGGTGCTGGGAATTGAACTCAGGACATCTGGGAGATCAACCAGTGCTCTTAACCGCTGAACCATCTCTCCAGCCCTTAAAAAGAACTTTTACATCCATTTTGGATATACTTTTATCCTGGCACCTTACTCTTCATTCTTTGAGAAAAGAGATGGATATCTAGCCGTGGTCCCATGGGCACAGGCACATGGGGGAGGGTCTGTTGGAGGAAGGTCAAAAGTCACAAAGAAGAAAAAGGAGATCACAGGACAAGAGAGAGAGAGAGAGAGAGAGAGAGAGAGAGAGAGAGAGAGAGAGAGGCAGGTCACGTGGTCACAGCACAAGGACAGAAGGTATGGAGCCCTGTGGCTGGAGTGAGGGGCGAAGACACAGAAGGGAGCCAGGGTGGCGAGGCACGGCAAGACCAGCATTCTGTCTCAAGCAGAGAAAACTGGGAAAGACAGAAGCTGTGAGGGAGCAAAGAAAAGCCAAGGGCTCCCATCCAGTTTCTCTCCTGGGCTTCTCGTGGCTGCTGAACGGGGGGCACCTGGGTTCCCAGTTCCTCTCCTCTGAACAACGGTTCAGAGCTGACTTCTGCTATGACTTCTTTTGAAGCAGTAGCACTCTGGACTGGTTTAGGTTTCAGAACCCCCAGATGCATGGGTCCTATGCCTGTGCCCAATGTGACCCAGGGCACCAGAGGAACTGGTGGGCTGGCTTGGCTTGAATTGGCCCAAACCCAGCATTATAATGAAATGGACCTTAATTTAGACTATTAGGCACACATCCCTGTGCACTTGGGTTCAGGGCCACCAACCCAAAGCTGCTCTGGGCCTGCTCTGCGCAGGGTCAAGGACACCAGGCAATGTCCTCATCCTCAGCCTTCATCTTTAGGACTCTGTATAGCACTAAACAAATGTTTTGTGGTTTAAAAAATATATTTAGAGTGTGTGTGTGTGTGTGTGTGTGTGTGTGTGTGTTTGTGTACCATGTGCATGCAGGAACCTGTGGAGGCCATAAAAGGCATTGCATCCCTTGGAACTGGAGTTGCAGATGGGTGTGAGCTGCCACATGGGTGCTGGGAACCAAACTGAGGTCTTCCCCAAGAACAGAAAGTGTCCTTAGTCCCGGGCCCATCTTTCCAGACCTGTTTTGTGGGTTTTAGTGTTTCTCACTATCAAGTGTATTTCCTAGAAGACCTACAGCTTTGTATAATCATTGATTTACCATATTTCCTTAACAATTTGTATCCTGAAGGCTTTTCTGAAGTGTGAGTTATATAAATGATGTAATTATTCAAGTAGGCATTACAATAAAGATAAATGGGCCCAAGAGGAACAGCAGGCGAGGGTGGGGATAAGCAGGGAGTCAGGTCTACGGAGAGAGGTTTGTGGGGAATTTAAGGGCCTGACTGTCCTCTCCAGGAGAGCAGTGTCCACCAGCAGGTATTTCCCCCCCTCCATCAGCTCACTGTCCCTGAGGACTTCCTGCAGACAGGCCCTCTCCACCCCCTTGTGGTAGGAGTATAGTGATGCATCTTTCTGGACCTCTAGTTCTCTGCTAAGACCCTGGAACCTGACAGCAGGATCCCGGGAACTTGCTATTGCTGTGAGTCAGCAGGCAGATCTAAGTGCCTGGAGCAAAGCTGGCACAGCACCCGCACCCCTCAGCTGGCCCTGGAGACCATAGGGAAGTGGGGGGCGGCGTTCAGCAGAAGGGTAGGAACCCAGGCCCCTTTTTAAAAGGCAGAGGGGATGAATCCTGAGAGCCAAGGGCTATGCAGCTTAGAATTCCCTCAACTTTGGAAAAAGTTGAGGTGCAGAGTAAGGAACTAATGACCACAGGAAAGAGTCTGTTTCTGTGAGTGCCAGAGAGAGGCCCGGACCACTGCTTAGCAGGCCCTTCCCTAGTGAGCCGCTGTCTCTCTTTCTACAGAGGATGTGGATGGGATCCTGTGCCTCTCCCCAGACATGGGGCATGGGCTACTACTGTGCCTAGCAAACACAGACAGGATTCTTTCTTGTTGTTCCAAGTGGGTGGTGATAGGTTCATGAATGCTTGCAGGGTGATGAGGACACCGAGGGTCTCCGAATCCTGAGAACATGATCAGTCCATGGTGCTAGCCTTGCTCTGGGTTCTCCAAGCATAGGACTCCATTCTGCAGGTGGCTTCCCACAGGTTCCAATCACCCATAAGGTTCCCTCATCTGGAGAAGGAGGGAGATAGAGAGGGAGGAAGAAAGGAAAGGAGAGAGTACAGAAGGGAGGGGGAAAGAGAGGGAGGGAGGGAGGTTGCCTGAGAGCCTGACTTGGGCCTGTGTGAGGTACAGAGGCACTGGCACAACCATGTACAAATCCCACAGCTTACACAAATAAGCAAATAGATTACACACACTTGAGATACTCTGAAACACTTTGATGTCTCCCAAATCCCAACAGAGTTACGTTTTGAGTACAGGAGGGGTTCAGTCAACTTCTAGGGCATCCTGAATCAAAAAAAGAAAAAACCCTCTGTCCTCAATAAAAAATTTCCCTAGAGTCCTGGGAGGAATCTGAAGAGCAGAGGCCCCATTCTGTTCTCAGGGTGTTTCAGGGTCAAAGTGAGAGCCTGGGGACAGCAGATTCCTGTGAGCCTGTCTAAATGTGTGAGGATTGTCCAAATATAGATAGTCAGGTCTAGTCAGTTGAGTGCCTTGTAGTCTGCTGTCTGGAACTAATAAGGCCCCTTGAGTACCTTTTGCTGCAGGACGTGGAAGACCTTAGGCAGTGTCCAGTGGGGACCGCCAGGAAACCCATGAGTCAGACCAGGCCCTGGCATTTCATATCTGTGGTACTTCGGGGAACGGGAGCACTTGCAGCAGGCATACACACTGGCTCCTATTATCACGCTGCTAATGATGACAATGGCGACGATGACCCCGTTGCTCACTGAAGATGGGGGCTCAGCATTGACTTGCAAGCTCTCTGGCTTCCGGTCGGTGGTGTCTAGGTCTGGAGCAGGGAAGTCAATGAGAATTGGCTTGCATAATTCATCCCCTCCAGTTTCCCCTTGTTCCCCTCCCACCCCTCGACACGTCCACCATGAACTCCTATATGGGTGGGTAAAGGTTGTGGAGGAGGCTAGCAGGGGCCTCTGGGTTGGGCTCCAGAAATAGCGGCTATGTGGCCTAAGGGGAAAAAGTGTGAACGGTCTTGTACCTTTGGAATTGGAGAACGTGAAGAGTTTTCCACATTTCGAGCCTTCCTGGTCTCGGGGTTCTGCCAGAGACAAATTATCAGGTTTGGGGACCGCAGCCCTGGTGTACCTCCAGGTTAGAGAGTGGGAATTCTGATGTCACCCCCAATCTCCTATGGGCTCAGGGGACTATGGTGGATTGAACTGGTTTGAAGGGGTGAAGAGGGCATAGATTTAGACACATAGGGTCCTTGTTTGTGTGTGGAAGCAGATGAAATCCAGAGCTCAATTGTGAGGGGTTCCTCCCTGCTCCTTCCCTCCCCATTCCCTCCCTGCTCACTTCATAGCCTAAAGCTCACCAGTAACATTCAGGGTCAAGTTTTCGTCTTTTCTCTGGAGTCCATGCAGCCTCCACAGGTACGCCCCTGCGTGGATGTCCTGGACACCTGTGATCACCAGTTGGGCATGGCCTCCTTGAATCTGGAGGTGCCATGGATCTTTAAAGTAGTTTCCTGGAGGCTTTTTGTAGAAGATGGTCATGGTCTTTCCATTGGCAGTTAGCTCAATGGTGACGTCTTTGAAGGTGTGGGAGATGTTACAAGCCATCAGCACGCAGCTACCTCTGAGAGCGGACACTTCCGGTTTGGTGCATACGGGGTTGTCCCAATCTGTGGAGAGAGCACAGTCTTTACTTTGCAGCCTAGGCATGGTCTTTTATACCCCTACCAATTCCCCGGCAGTGATCCCAGGACTATTGGTGCTCCAGGGTCAGCTATTCTCAGGGACACGCGGTTCACCCTTCTGTAGTAGCCCAGCTCCCACCATATTGGGGCTACAAAGCCAAGGTCACTATCTGGTCCTGACCTTGGTCTGATCCTCCCACTGTATCTTGCCCTGAGTCCCTGCATTTGGGAGAAGTAAAACCCAGACTTACTTTGATTATGGGCATTCAGGGAGGCAGCCAGGAGAAGGAGGGTCCAGAGAATTCTGGGAAATGAGCCAGTGGACGTTACAGGGTAGGCCACCATGGCTCATTCATAGGATGGGCCTCAGAAGACAATTGTTCTGGTCAGTGGTTTTTGGACAGTACCTAGAGGAAGGAAAAAGAAGGGGTCAGAAGTCCCCCAAAGCTGCTGCAGAGGCCCATGGAAACAGCACCAGTTTCAGAAGGGCTATGCAGCCCAGGGTCCTTGAGCTCCTCCTGTCTACTCCTCCCCAGATTCCTGAACCTGTGCAGGGACCCCAGCCACCAGCGCTGTTCTTACATTTGGTAAAGAGTGCGGGGCTGGCTGAGGTAGAGCAACGGGCAGATAGGTGAAGCCAGGAGTGAGACGCATTGAGTTGGCTGCTTGGCACACTTCCTGCTTAGAGCTGCAAAGTTAACCAAGCAAACAGCTCAGGTTGTACTTTGTACAGAAACAGGGTCATGTTACAGTTTCGTCATTGACTTGACCTGTGCACTGTCTGTCTACAGGGCACTAAGTGGCCTCCGTTCAGTGCCTAGCGCCCATGATTCTCATGTCCTGCCTGCCTGTCCTTTCTTTCACTTGCTCAGTCATCCTCACTGAGCACCATGGTATAGGATGTGGTCTGTGTAGTCCAATAATGGCTGCCTCAGGACACAGAGGCCAAGAATCTGGTAATTGTTCCGCCCACTAGGCTGGATGTCTCCGCTGTCCCAGTCTGGTGCAGAAGGCCTGCAGGATTGCTGAAGTCCTGAAGAAGGAGGTCCTAACACTGGTGAAGCCTGCAGTGAGGTTGAGGGCAAACTAGCAGAGCTGCAAGCTTCTTTCTTCCATGCCTCTTATCTGGGTGCCATCAGAAGGTGCGGCCCACATTTAGGGTGGGTCTTCTGGCTTCAAATAATCTGATGAAGAAAATCCCACACAGAAGTTCCCAGAAGCTCATGTTTTAGCTGATCGCCGATGTAGTCAAGTTGACAACCAAGATGAGCCACCACAGTAGCTCATGCCAGAAAAGGAGAGACCTTGGCCATCTTTCAATCAAGCAGCCTGCCCAGTGCCTTTTCTTGCTTTAACCCTGGACTCTGCCTACCTGCCCTCAAGTTAACTTTGTACTATACACTTCTGAAGCACAGGTGAGCTTTATATTTCTTTGGTTTACCATAGGACAGGCTGATTGCTGCTTTTAGGAGGTGGGCAAATCTCCTAGACCTCAAAGTCAACCCAACCGACCCTGTCTTATGGTAGAGGCAGCTCCAGATCCCTGGACATGCGAGCTGCATCTTGCACCGTCCTTCACAGTCTCAATGCTTAGTTTCCAGCGCAGGATAGAGGCCCCTCGTACACATCCTCCTTACCAGTGCAGCAGCCGTGGGATGTGTAGATCCTGTTCTAAGGGTTCCTGGAATGCTGACTGGCAGTGAAGGAAGGAGAAAGTTCCGCAGAACATTGACCATTCGTGTTAGGGAACTTGCCCTCCAGAGAGCTCCCCAGTCAGCATGACCTGACTCCTACTTATAGTCTACTGCTTCTGTTGCAGAATGTGTAATACCCTGTTTCCTGACCCCTTCGACCACCACAAACATGTGCACATGTATAGAATACATGTATATACATGCATGCATATACATGTACACAAATATTATGTTGGAGGAGGATGAGACAGCAGAGATGAACCTCTAACGACCCTGATGATGTCAGGGTCTGTGTTTCCCACAGACCTGGTACATGTTATGTACACAGTAGTAGTCCAACAAATGCATCTGGACCCACTGAAGTGTAGGAGGGGTAAGGATCCTGCCCAGCCTTTCCTGACACAGACATGGAGCACAGCTTTGCTCTTTGTGACATCAGCCAGCAGCCCTTCAGAAAGGTTTGGTCAGTGTCCCATGGGAGTCCTGGTCCATATTCCTGGGCTGGAACTAGGCTTGTCAAAGGTCAGTCTTGGTCCACATCTGGACCCAGGTGATATGGAAAGCTAGTAACCTCAGTCAAAAGAATGTTGAATGGCTACTGAATCACAGCTGTAGGATGGGGACACCCACGGAAAGTGAAAGCCAGAAGCTGAACTCTTGCCTCAAGGCTATAGGAGTTAGGTCCAACAGTCCTGGGAGACTGTGCTCTTTAGCTTTGGAGACTCAGCTCTCTGGGGGAGGCAGGAAGCTCTCAGCGGGGGCATCAAGTGTGATGGGAATTTTCAGTTTTTACACAAGTTTCCCTGTTGGCTCTTAGGAAGTCTCTGAGCTAATCTACAATACCTCACACCCCCATGTCCTAATTACCCCACAGGCATTTCCTCACTGTTAGAGCCTACCTTTCCGTCACCCCCTCCCTTCAGAATCATACATCTATGAAGTTCCCTCCAGCATGTCACTGTGTATGAAATGCCACAAGACATTCATACTAGAAGGCATCTTGACTCTGAGGATACCACCATCCTCATGGTGGCCTCCTTAGGAAGCTGGAATCTTTGGTTCACAAGAATGGTGCCCAGGTCCCAGGCTTCTCCCGTTGCCCAGAGCCAAGGGCATCCTCCAACCTCAGGGCCCTGATCATCCTAAGCTTCTTTTCATGTACACCATGAGGTCATCACAGTAGGAGCCCCAGATGGCTCTGTAATCTAGCTTGGGGATTCCATGGTCACACCTCTGTTTTACTCTCAGGTACCTCTGTTTGGGGTGGTGCTGTGGCTTTTGCTATGGTCCCTGTGGCGCTGGTCAGGCACCATAGACAGTCAGGTGACTAACCACAGTGTAATGACAGACCTCACAGTAAACCAAGATCCCTCTGCTGAAGGACTGAGGGCCTAGGGGCCAACTTCTTGTTTCTGGCCTAGCTGAAGCTGGGCAGGCTGCCCTGGTCTTGAGATACTCTTTGGTTTGCACTATGATCACAGATGCCATGTGCCAGGTTGGCCATCAGAGAAAAGGGCAAGCCTAGATCTGCCCCTCAAGATACCTCTCAGTTCTCAAATGAGAATCTTCCCATTGTTCTTGGAACTGGAAGCCCATCCTCTCCTTTTTTTCTGGGAGTCTCACTTTGCCTCTCCTAGATACCCAACTAGAAATTGATTCAAAATCAATGCTTTGGGATAATGCTCCTGTACACTGTAAAGATTTGTCACTCATATTAGTTTAAGAAAATGCTGATTGGTCAGTAGCTAGGCAGGAAATATAGGCGGGGTGACCAGAGTAAGAGAATTCTGGGACGAGGTAAGGCAGAGGGACAGCCATCTTCTAGACACAGAAGAAGAATGCCTCACTAAGAAAAAATACCAAGCCACGTTGCTAAACATTGATAAGAATTATGAGTTAACTGAAGTTGTAAGAGCTAGTTAATAATAAGCCTGAGCTAATAGGCAAAACAGTTTATAATTAATATAAGCCTCTGAGTTTCTTTGGGACCGAACGGCTGTGGGACTAGGTGGGACAGAAACTTCTGTCTACAGTCAAGGGGGTAGAAAAAACATGCCAAAGATATTTTCAAATAAAAATGTTAAAATAATTGGCTGTGGCAGCACACACTTTTAATTTCAGTAATGGTGACACAGAAGCAGGCAGAAGCACAAAGAACTCTGTGAGTTCAAAGCCAGTTTGGTTTACATAGTAAGGTTGAGGCCAGCCAGGGTTACATAGGCAGACCCTGCCTTGAAAAAAAAAAAAACTTAGAGGCTGGAGAGATGGCACTGGCTGCTCTTCCAGAGGTCCTGAGTTCAATTCCCAGCACCCACATGGCGACTCACAATGTCTGAAACTCCAGCTCCATACCAACGCACATAAAAATCAAATAAGTTGTTTTTTAAAAAGTTAAAATAGCAACAAGCATGCTTAAAGTCTGAGCATATATGAGCTAAAGTATGTCCTTATTCAATCTCTCTGACATTTTTTGGAACTCAAACAAACAAGGTTATTGCCTTCTTCTTACAATAACGGTATCCCATCTCCTTGAACCTGTGGCTAGAGACTTGTTTTATCGATTACAAGTCTGTCTAGCATCCTCCCTTGCACTGTCACTTAAGTGTTTAAAAAGATTTGTTTATTTGTTTTTTGGTATATGAGAGTTTTTGACAGCATGTATGTGCACCACACACATGCCTGGTGCCCTCAGAAGTCAGAAAAGGGCATCAGACCCCCTGGATAGTTGTGAGCAGCCAGGTGGGTACTGGGAACTGAAGTGGGGTCCTCTGAAAAGGCAGCAAGTACTCTTAACCTCTGACCTATTGCTCCAGCCTCATCATTTAAATGTCTTAGTAACCCTTTGAAGGCAATAACTTCAAATCACACCAAAAAAATCCTATGTATGATTTTTTTAATTTTTAAATTTATTTATTTATTTATTTATTTATTTATTTTTGAGACAGTGTTTCTCTGTGTAGCTTTGGAGCCTGTCCTGGAACTCGCTCTGTACTCGGGGCTGGCTGTCAACAACATGACTATTTCAAATACAAAGAAGTGTGATTCTCCTTCGAGAGACTTACACCCACACTCTTTGGTGTAAGTCTTCCTCTTTCCCTGAGTTCCTTTCGTTCTGTTAATCCCTGTCCTCAAATTAGTCTATGTTAAATAACATCCTGTAAGGTCTGGTGAACTGGCTTAGCAGGTAAAGGCAGTTTCCTCAAAACTATGACCACTGGGGGATTCAACCCCGGAAATCTTGTAAAGGCACAAGGAAGAAACAGACTTCACAGAGTTGTCCTCTGACCCCTGCCTTTGTGCACACTCACACACACACACCACCCCTACACACACACACACACCCCTACACACACACACACACACACACACAATATTTCTAAAGGTTAAGCACTGTTTTTTTTTTCTTTAAAAAGCTCTATTTATCTCTTACACAGTGTTCTGCCTGCCTGTGTTCCTGTATCTCATCACTGATGGCTGTGAGCCACTATATGGTTGCTGGGAATTGAACCCAGGACTTTTGGAAGAACAGGCAGTGCTCTTAACCACTGAGCCATCACTCCAGACTCCCCCCCCCCCCACACACATTTTTAATGTCTTTTCCCAGGTGTGGTTGCATCTGCTTTTAATCTCAGCACTCTGGAAGCAGAGGCACCAGAAACAAGGAAAAGAAAGGGCCACCTGCTCAGCAGGTACAGGCACTTGCTGCCAAGTCTGAGTGTCTGAGTTTGAGCCTGGGAACCCACATAGTGGAAGGAGAAAAATTCAAAGTTTGACTCTCCACAGCTAATATGGTTCTTATTTTCCTCCAAAGTCCTAACTGCTCCAAGCCACCTCCTGCCATGAGGGTTCTCAGCCTCCTTCCAGGGGACTCGAGCGGTGGGTCACCCTGGTGAGGGCAAGAGCAGATGGAGGGAGAAGCAGGTACTGTGCCCCTCTCTGGCCTCTGTCTTGTCTGTGGTCCCAGTTCCCAGCCACCTACGCTCTTGGGCCCTGGGCATCTCTGGAGCTTTTCCGGCTATAGCACCTCCTTACCTAGGACAGCGAGACAACCAGAAGCAGGGTGAGCCTGGCATCCGCCTCCTTTGCAGCTGTCTCCTTTACGCTCCGGTTTCTGCTCAATTCTGCGCGTAGGTACGGCAGCTATGCATGGGGCATCCCTAAATCTAAACCCCTCATGGCTGGAGATGAAGATGAGAATCACGGAGGCATCTGCCAGCTCACCCTGTGTTCTGTTTCTGCCCCCAAAGGTGCATGAAAAATCCCCAGCCATTGCTTTGAACGTGCTGTGGTCCAGGGTTTCAGAATAACCCTCACTTCTTGGGAATCCCATTATTCCTCAAGCAACAAAGACTTCTAGGCAACACCCTACTCAATCAGAACGTAGACCCTTCCTCTTTCTCTCTTTAAGTCTGAAGCTCATGTTAGTACCTTAAAGATGGGCTGACAGACTTCAATGCTGTCCTTACCCAAGGACTGTATTAGTTAAGTTTGTCTCCTGTGTTTTTATATGCTTTCTAAGGGATGAGCAGCAGAAACTGCATGTTGGAACCTCTAGAGTCTGTTTCAGGACTCAGGTTACACAGACAATACCCAGTGTCACCTTTCTGACACCCTCTTCCCAAAGCCTTTGTAATTACTGCCTCACCGAGAGCCCTGATGGGTCTGTCACCCTGATCCGTGTCTAGTGGATGTGAGTGCTGAGCCGCAGAGCGGTCAGGAGCAGATTTGTAGTGGTATTTCACCGGCAGACCCCACCCACAGATCTGACCCCCTCTGCAGCCCATCTCATACAGCACAGAGGCTTCCAGCTCAGAGTCGGGTTGGGAGTTACATGCACGGAGCTTCAAGAATTCTGGAGTCGAAGGAAAGTCACAAGAAGAACCTTCAAGCCCACAACCAGAAGTCGGCTTCTACTTACATTACGACGGGAACAAAAAACCAGGATTCACAGTGTCCCTGACCAAACGTGGCGTAGATTCCCAGTTCTGAGTGGCCAGCCTTAGAAGTCCACAAATACCAACCACAGCGGGCCCCGTGTGCACTAAGCCCCTCTCCTGAAGACCTGGGCAACTGCATGCGCTTGGCTTCCCATACTCATGGTCAGATGACAAGGAAGAGTGAGGTCGCCATTCTCCTCTTCCCATTCAGTACCGAAGAATCCAGCTGCTACCTCTGCCCTTCACGGAGCTCAGGTCCAAAGCCCAGGTCTACTCTATTCCCGGCAGCGGCAGCGGCTCCAAGGCACCTGTGGAGTAGCTCAGCCCCGCCTTTACTCTGGACAGATCTTCGAGGCAAGAGGCAGCCTCAGGCACACCCTGCCTGATGGTTTCAAACTCATAGGCTTTAGCCCATAGAGCCCCAAACCCTCTGAGCACCAGGGTTCTTTCTAATCCTCACCTGCATACTTGGCTCTTGTCCGAACTCTGTAACTGCCACCGGTGAAGTCATTCAGTCCAGATGTCGCTGAGGCCCAGATAAGGCAGGCCAAGTACCGCCCATGGGACTGGCCTAACCAGGGAAGAAAACAAGTTCGGGAAAGCAGTGTGACTTTCAGGAAGTCACACACAACAATAACAGAAGTTTCTTCTTCTTCTGTTTCTTCCTGACAAAAGTTTCTTCGTGATTCCCTCGATACATTTTAACCAAAACTCCTGCATTAGCCACTGCAGTAGGAAGGTGGGAGGAGGGTCCAGGTTCTTTCTAGAAGAGTCCTGACTGGGGCCAAAGTTTGATTCAAGGCTCTGGGGCTGCTCCTTTAGGAAAACTGGGTATATTTGCTTCCTTGCATGGGACAGTACGGGCATGACCACTCTGGGCAAGTGCACAGGGAAAGACAGGAACTTTAGGATTGAGCTAAGGAAGGCAGGAGCCTAGTAGCCCACACTGGACACAATCCATGGATTCCATACTCACGGCGTACCAGGTACCCCTAGTGCCTACCTATGCTGTAGAGAGGGTCAAATAGCTGTGATCTTATTATCCCTCCTGGTAGGGCTTTGGGTGACAGATCAGAGGTAGGAAACCTTGGTATGATGGGGCTAGAACGTCCTGTGTAAGGGAGAGTCTGGAAGGGCAGCTGAGGTTTCCAGTGTCTCACCCCATTAAAATGCCTTTCTGTGAAAGTGAAACCAATCCATTTGTTTTGAAACTACAAGTCCAGGACAAGACATTCCAAGTCTTCCCCGGTGACTTAGTACCAATGTCCACAGGCGATGTGTGCTTGGCCTTCTGGAGATTACGTGTGCAGAAAACCATCTTGATCAGGCATGTCTCCTCGGGGTGCATATGCTTCTCACAGGTAGACACAGCTGCTTGTGTTCCGCCTAGCTCCACTAGGAGACACCCTCTGCATGTCTCCTGATCACAGCCTCCTCTGCCAAGGGCTATGCCGTCTGCTGACTCACATCCATGGGGTTTCCAGAGACTTAAGTTCCGAGGCCACGCTGCTCCATTTCTTCAGCAGGATCTGCTAAGAATTCAGGAGTAGTAGATGTTTATCTCCTGCGGCTATATCCTATTTTTAATTAAGTGTGTGCATGCCTCACACATGTGTGTGTGTGTGTGCGTGTGACAGAAGACAACTTCAAGTATCCTACCTTAGGCACCCTCTGCGTTTTTGAAATTGAGTCTCTCACTGGTCTGGGTTTCACCGTTAGACTGGCCGGCCAGTGGCCCCAAGGCTTCTCCTGTCTCTACCTCCCCAGTGCTGGGATCACAACTGTGAACATCATAATCAGCTTTTTAATTTTTTGCATGGATTCTGGGGATCACGCTTGGGTCCTCATGTTTGTAAAGCAATCACTTTACCAACCGAGACATTTCTCCAGTCCATGCCTTTGTCTTTCATGTTTCTTGGGGTTGCATGCATGACCCCATGGCCACACTCAGGGCCGTCTGTAGATATGGCTCATGTCTCTGTGTGTTCTCTTCTTGGGACGCTGAGTTCTACAAGTGTCTCCGTATCCAGGTGGTCAATGGTGTGGGTTACTCACTAACCTATTTGAACTAGCTTGAGCCATCAGTGATGGGGTAGGGGAAGAAGAAGGAGGGGAATGTTAGCAGAGTCTTGGGGCTGGAGCAGGAGGAAAGATGGGGACACAGGGTGGAGGGAGGAATCCGACTGCAGCTGAGGTCCCTGCTACCCAGAGTTTGGTCTCTGGGGTCAGACTTATGCCCTTACATATGTACCATCATCTGAACTAAAAGACTGGCCTGACTGAAGAAGACCTGGTTCTGGCCCTGAAGAAGAGACCCCAGTTTGTGATTGCCCCAGAAGCCGAGCAGAGGCAATTGGTTAGGGTCAATGGGTAGCCAGGAGACACCACAAGAGTGGCCCTTCTCCTAGGATGAGAGTGACAGGTTTGTGTTCAGGCCCAAGGTCAAAGACCCTGCTGGCTCTGACCTCTAGAACAGCAGAAGCATGTACTATCCCGAAATCTCACGTAATGCTAATTAATGACAGAGTCAGTGCGTGTCACTGTGCATGAAGATCTCATGTGCACATGCATAGATAATGCGTATGCACCATCATATAGAGATGCCTGGCCCAGAGCACATCCCTGCCCGAGTGACAGACTTACTCCCTGTGCTGGTGGTGAGCTTGAGGTCCCGTGACATGGATAGCAGGGCAGAGTAGGTTCCGATGAGTTTCTTGGGACTAGTTTCCTACTCTATGGAGACAAACCTGTTTGGACCAGGCAGCATCTGTCGAGGTGGCCTTTGAAGGACCCTATAGGAATTCTGCATCCTGAAGGACTTTTCTGTTTGGCTTTGAAGACAGAGAGAATCAGAGCAGTGGAGCATTGTGGGACTGGCCCTCAGTACCCGTAAGAGAAAACCGGGGGAGACAGAAGCCACAGCGAAGTGAGTGCAATCGAAGCTCCCGACTCGGTTTTCTTCTAGGGTTCCTGGAGCTACAGGGGGAAGAGGAACTTCATGGACTTTAAAGTTTCCCTCCTCAGCAGAGGCTCAGCACTGACTTTTGATGAAACTTGTTGCATCAGCACACTTCACAGGTTTAGAAAAACACAACACCTCTTGCTTCAGAAGCCAAGACGCACAGCACCTCACACTGTTGCCCAGTGTAAGAGGGGAACTGGGGAGCTTGATTGCATTTAGGATCACCATGGAATCACACCTCTCTGGATGTGTCTGGCAGTGTTTCCAGAAAAGTTTAACTGAGGAGGTTGTGGGTGGCTCCACCCCATGGGCTGGGATTGGAATTCCAGGTTGACCAGAAAAGAGAAAGCAAGCCGGGTACCAGCATTCGGTTTTTCTGCTTCCTGTCTGTGAACACAATACTTCCAGCTGCTTCATATATTGGCCACCAAGCCTTCCCCGCTGCGACGTTCACACTTCTGCCACCAGGCCTTCCACACTGTGATGTTCACACTTCTGCCACCAGGCCTTCTCTGCCATGACATTCACACTTCTGCCACCAGGCCTTCCCCCACTGTGATGTTCACACTTCTGCCAACAGGCCTTCCCCTGCTATGACGTTCACACCTCGGCTACCAGGCCTTCCCTGCTATGACGTTCACACCTCTGCCACCAGGCCTCTCCCACTATGATGTTCACACTGCTGCCATAAGGCCTTCCCCGCTACGACAGACTGTATCCTCAAACTGAGCCCACATCAACCTTTCTTTCCCAAGCTGCTTGTGTTGGATATTTTGGTCCAACAAGAGAAGTAACTAACACATGGCCCCAAACAAAGAACAGCATCAAAGTGCTGTAGATTACCTTAGTTTGATCTGGGAAGCTCAGGTCTTCCTGCATCTGAGCATAGGCTGCAGCCACAGAGACACCATGGGGCTTGCTTTGGAGGCCCCAGGCAGCAGGCAGTATCTCTGGCCTCTGCTTTCATTTAAGCACCAGTATGTGAGGTTTCTTGTAGACTTTTTTGCTTTTGACAGTTGTATTTCTCAGCTGACCTGATAGTCTCTTTATTAGTTTATTATTTATCTGACGATTACATCCAGGTGATTGTCTAAAGAATGACATAACTCGTGGCTCAGCAGGTAAAAGCATTTGCCCAGTGACCTGAGTTCGATCCCTAGAACCTATGAAGAAACCAGATGTGGTGGCGTGTCTCTGCAATCCCAGCACTCTTAGGGTAGAGTAGGCGGTAGAGATCGGAGACTTGTCTGGATGCTTATGGGCAAGCTAGGCTAGAAAATACAGCCCAGCAGCAGTATCAAGAGAGATACTGCCTCAGAACGAGGTGAAAGGCAAGAACTGACTTCCAAAAGTTATCAACACCCTTCACACACATGTCCTGGCATGCCCATACCCACACTCATACACAACAACAACAATGATAATAATAATAATAATAATAATAATAATGAAGCATGGAGATTCTATAAAAAATTCCCTTTTTAATGTATGTTTAAAGAAAACCAGGATTGTAACCAAGACAAATGCCAGAAAACAACAGTGGGGCATGGGTATGAATCAAGGAGTTGGGGCTGGGGAGTTCCAGGGCTGGCCACCTTCCCTAGGAGAGCGATACCTGCCAGAAAAAACCTACACCCTTCCATAGAACCCTGTTCCTGAGGGCACTCTACCTTCCCAGGGCAGGAGTGGGGTGATAGTTTATCTCAGACTTCTAATCTTCCTGTCGGCCCCTGGAACTTGACAGTTGAGTTTCCCAGATCAGTTACTATTGTGAGTCAGAAAGCAGGTGTGTGGCCCCCTCCTACTTGAAGCAAATCTTGGTGCAGTTCTAGACTTGCACTGGAGATCTTTGGGTAGTGAAGAGACATTGACCTCAGGGGCCCAGCAGGAGAAAAGGAGCCCAGGCCTTTGTAAGAGAAAGAGAGTGTGGACGCTGAGGGTCAAGGGTTACGCAGCTCAGAAATTCTCACTTTTGAAGAGTTGAGGAGCTGATCAGACAACTGAAGACCGTAGTCCAGAGGCTGAATGGAGTGATACTTTGTTTGTGTTTTAACAAATAAAGCTTGCCTGAAGATCAGAGTGCAGAACTAAGCCACTAGAGGCCAGGGAATGGTGGCACATGCCGTTAATCCCAGGACTCGGGAAACAGAGGCAGACAGATTTCTGTTAGTTCAAGGCCACCGTGGGCTACACCAAATTGATCTAGTCTCAAAGAGAAATGGAGCCAGGTGGTGGCTGCTCACATCTTTAATCCCAGCACCAGGGAGCTGGAGACAGAAGGGATATGGCTGGGCAGAGAGAGGAATATAGGTGGGAGGAGACAGGAGCTCAGATGCCGTCTGAGGGTTGTCTGAGAACACAGTCTAAGGCTTCATAGAGACGGATGCAGTTCGAGGTTTTGATCACCCCTTTGGTCTGGTCATTGGTAGAGGTAAGGACTCTCTAGTGGCTGGCTGTTCTGCTTCTCTGATCTTTCAGCTTTAACCCAGGATCTGATTCCAGGTTTTTATTATTAATAGTAATTAGAATTTGTGCTACAGCTATATTCTTGTTCATGTGACTGAAAGATACCCAAATGTTTTCCAGCTTCCAAGGCCCTTCCTGTCCCCTCCTCTACATAAAACCAAGGGTTCCACCCTTGGGAAAGTTCTTCTGTGCCCAGCAAACATGAACAGTCTTTTGCTCTGCCAAGCATGTGATAATGGCTCCATGGTGTTTGGGTTCCAGAGGGTCGTAGCGGCTGCCAAGGGCAAAGAACATGACAAGTCCATCCTGGTGGCCTCTCTCTGGAATCAGCTTCGCAGGCAGCTCCTTCAGCTTCCGCTGGCCCACAGACTTAGAACCTCCTTATATAGACAGGGAGAGATGAAAGGAGAGAGGGAGGGTGAGCCCCTGAGCTCAGTCCTGTGTACAGAGAGGCACAGGCGTGCACAGGTGGTCCATCGTCTCAGACGCTGTATGTGTGAACAGTGATACCACCCACCTAAGCTAGGAACACCCACCTTGTTCTCACACTCCTCCTCCCAGCAGAACCTGGGTCTAAGCCCATGGTGAACTTACTTCCAGGGTGCCAAAAGTACGAAACATCCTGGATCAGAAACCACAGGTTCGCTCCTAACCACAAGTTCCCAAGAGTCCCAAGAGGAACTATAGACTGCATGCTGCTCCCCAAGCTGTCCGAGGGTCAGAATAAAGCCCTGAGAACAGATGATCCTTGCAAACCCAATTCAGGACCCATGTTCTTTGCTGTTAGCAGACTGAAAAAGTCCTTGCAGCGGGACCTGCCGTCTTGGCCCTGTGTGACTTCCGTGATCCCTCTGAACCCCTGTTGAAGCAGAACTCAGGGGACACCCCAAGGAGGTACAAAGTAAGGACCCAGGAAGACCCCACCCATACCTCAAGTCAGTCACTGAAGTACATTTCCCTGGGGACTTCTTGGAACGGTGGTACATGCAGCAGATTAGTGTGCCGATTCCTAAGATCAGGAAGACAGGGACCAGGACTCCCGTGAAGGTCTCAGGCCCGGCCTCTAGTGGAGCTCTCTTGTGCTGAATCAGTGCGTCTGAAGCGGGCAGGAGTAGTCAGGGGTGATGTTTGCCACACTGGTCCTTTACTACATCCTCCCTGGTTCACAGTCCTACTCTTCCCATTGTTCACCACCTGCTGACCCCACACCCTCCTGGCAGTGATGCCTGGTGAGCAAGTACAGGAGGGGCTAAGGGTGAAGCGTCCCAGGTGGCCAGTCCTTGGCTCCATGGCATCAGGAGCAGCTGGGATGCTAAGAAGCCTGGGGACAGGGTTAGGACACCTATCTGAGGGGGGTATGGATAGCCAGCTGTCTGTGGGCTCATCCTTGTTTGAAGGCTCTGCCAGAGACGTGCCATCAGGTTGGATGATATGTGTTTGCACCCCCAATTCCAGCTGCAGTAGTCCTGCAGGTCTGGCTGGTCCCAGGAGGGACCAACATCAGGCTCACCTTCAGGGGCTCAGGGATTATGACAGATCGAACTGGTGTGGGCAGGGGAAGAGGAACATGGAGACTTTACAGAAAGGATGGAGTGGGCAGTGGGTTCCAGGTTGGGAGGAATTCATTTCTAGGTGCGGTAAGGATGGGCATCATGGGGTATACCAGTCTCTAGAGAGATTAAGGGGTGACCAGAGGGATGTGGGTAGGACAGGGTCCTCTCCAGTCACTTCCACCTTGTGAATGAATCATGAAAGTCGCTAGGGCAGTGTTCTAGCAGCCTTAACTGCCAACCTGACACAGCGTAGAGTCTCCTGAGAAGGAAGTCTCAGCTGAGGAACTGCCCGGATCAGATTGACCTGTGAGCATGTCTGTAGGGGATTATCTTGATTGTTAACTGATGTAGGAGGGTCCAACCTACTGTGGGCAGCATCGTTCCCTGAGCGAGTGGTCCTGAAGTATAATATAAAAGAAAGCTAGCTAAGGAGGCCCACACCTTTAATTTCAGCACTTAGGAGGCAGAGGCAGGCAGATTCCTGCAATTTCCAGACCAGTCGGGGCTACATAGTGAGACCCTATTCAGAGAGAGAGAGAGAGAGAGAGAGAGAGAGAAAGAGAGAGAGAGAGAGAGAGAGAGAGAGAGAGAGAGAGACAGAATGGAGGGAAGAGAGAAGGAAAGGAGAAGGAAGAGGAAGGAAGGTTGGGAAACATGGGTTAGACAGAAGCCCGTGAACAGCATCTTTTATGGTTTCTTTCTCTCTCTCTCTCTCTCTCTCCTCTCTCTTTTTTGAAGTTTAAACACTTACATTTTTATTATTAAAACAATTGAGCATTGTTCGTCAACAATAAAATCACATGCTTCTCTTTTTAAAAAAACAAAAACGTTGTCCAGGTTGCTTAGTGACACTAGGCCCGTATTGCTACAGAGCATCAGTAGGACAGAATTGAGTAACATTGCTCTCTTGGACCAGTCTCTGCCACATTGTTCAGTCTCTAGTACACTCATTGTTATCTTATCACCGGCTGGGATAATTCCCTTGTATTAGTTTTCCCACATCTACTAAAGAAATCGAGACAAAGGCTTTGTCTGCTGCCATTCAGGGGTTATTTGTGATATAATTCTACCAAATGGTGGCTCCTGGCTGCAGTTCTCCCTTTGGCGGTCACACAGTGAACTGAAGAGCTAGAGGCTTTTCCTATGAGGGTGACTCTCACAGTTAGGCTGATTGGCATTTTTTAATGATGCAATTTCCTCCATGGTTTCTGTCTCAAGTTCTTGCTTGAGTCCTACCCTGACTTCCCTCAATAACAGACGTTGCTCATAGCTGAAATTAACCCTTTCCTCTCCTAAGTTGCTTTTGGTCATGGATTTTTGTCATCACAACAGAATTAAGCTTGAACAGGAAGGAAGTGAGGCTGGGTAGCGAGGAGGGTTCTGGGGAGAGGGTCCCGGTGCAGATAGGACGGCTATCGGAGTGTGTGTGGGTCTTTGCTCTTTGGTTCTTGTTTTGAGACAAGGTCTGACCCTGAACTCATGATTCTCCTGCCTCACAGCCTCCTAAGTGCTGGAACCATATCACACCTGGCTGAACTTTCTCTTTCTAAGGCACACAAAGTCCAGGGCAAGCCTCCGTGGTGGAAGACGTTGTGGGGAGGGGGACGGTTTCACTGTAGTGTGGATACTCCTGGAACTGGGGCCTCATTCTGTGGTCACCAAGACTTAGATGGTCTTCTGCCCTGAACAGTGGAGTTCCTTTCTGCATCTCAGACAGATTAAGCTCCTCTGAAAGACCAAAATCTTTGCCTTCCCCTCTGCTCCCCTTCCTGTCCCCCAAATCACCACACTCTACATACTGGAGCCTTTATCCCTTCTTATCCCCTTACTCCACAGCCCTCACCTCACCTGAAACATTCAGGGTGACGTTTCTGAAATCTCCCTGGCATCCACGCAGGTACCACGAGTACAGCCCTGTGTGGACATCCTGGGTGTCGTTGATCACAAGCTGTGCCTGGCCCCCTTGAACTTGGAGCTCCCACCCCTCCCAGCGGAAGTATCCTTGGGGCGTCTTATAGAAGACGATCTTGTTGTTCAGCCAGATGGTGATGTAAGTGAAGTTATTGGAGATGTTACAGGTCATCACTGCGCGGCTGCCTCTAGGCACAGACAGGACGCCCTCGGTGCAGTTAGCAGTGTCCCAGCCTGTGTGGAGAAGATGATCACACATGGGCAAGGCAGAGCTGCAAGACAGTTGTTGGCTGCTCTTGTGGGCCGTGGGCAGCGAAGCAGGTGCCAAGGCCTCTAAGAGACAGGATGGGATATCTCACACCGACTGAGTCAGAGTTTGGCACCCACTGTGCAGCAAGAATGGAACGGCAGTGATCTCACGACCTCTCTGGGGATGTTGGATCTGGAGAGCTGTGTTGGGGAAACTCCATGGGCCCCATTTTCTATACTCACTCCGATTGATTAAGGGTCCAGAGGGTGCCTAGGCTGTTGGACAAAGCTGGATGTATCCAGAGGAGGTTAAGCAGGTCCTCAGCTGTTAACATTCCGCTGTTGCCTGGCCAGGACACCCTCTTTCCCTTGCAGCCTAGGTGGAGTTTTGAGGGCTCCCCTCAGTGTTCTAACATCAACTCCAAGTGTTGCTGGCCCTTTCTCTGTTGTTAGCCATCCTCAGGGGTACACAACTCACACTTGTGTAACCCAGGGGCATCAACCCTCCTGGGAGCCTTTGATGCTGAGTCTCCTGGGTGGCAGACAACACTTGGATCTAACCTCGGTCTGTCCTGTCTGCACCCTTGCACCCCTCCCTCTAGCAGAAGACCCAAACCTACTTTGATTCTGAGCGTTCAGTGAGGCAGCCAGGAGCAGAAGGCCGAACATACTGGGAGTGTGGACAGCAGGTGACGGCCAGGTCTTCATGGGCAGGTGGTGGAAAGGGAGGTCTCAGGAGACCCTTGTCATTTCCAGCTGTCTGGGAACACTTCCTAGGAGGAAGAAAGCACAGAGGTCAGAGGTCCATCGAGGCTGCTGCAGAGCCTGGTGGGGTCCGTCCTAGCCTGGCCAGGGGTGCATAGCTCAGGGTCCCTGCCTGAATACCCGAGCTCCTGCAGGATTCTGAGCCACCACTATTTGGAGAGGTGTCATAGGCTGTGGTAAACACATGAAGCTAGGAGCAAGGAGCACCAAGCTGAATGCTGGGCACGTCTGTAGAGATTTCCATGGAGCCAGCAACTGCCTGGATCTCACTGCTTATGGGGATGGAGCCATGGCAGAGAGAACATTTTAAGTCTCTTGTTTGTTTGTTTGTTTGTTTGTTCATTTAGACAGTATCTTGCTATGCAGCTCAGGGTGAGCTTAAGTTTGTATCTCCTTGCCTCAACCTCATAAATACTGGGATTAAAGACAAGTGCCATCACACCTGAGTGATTTTATAGAGAGAAATATTGTCAACAAAACAAGAAGGATTTCCATATATCCATGTTTGACCCAGCTCTGCCTTGTCCGTGTTGCTGACTTCTCTTCTCTTTCCTTGAGATAGTGTATCACTATGACACTGTGGCTGGTCTGGAACTTGCTTTCTAGCCTACTCTGGCCTCAAATCACAGAGTGTTGGGTTAAAAGGCGTGCGCCACCCCACCCAGCTCCTTTGTTGTTAATATCTTACACACAGTCACAGGCTTACAGGACATACCTGTTGAATTATCTCGGGTCGAGAAATACTACAAGATCGACCAATTATATTTTTATTATAAGGGGCAAACTCACGAACCAGGAAAGAGAAGTCCAAGCTCAGCTGTACTCACAGAGAGAGTAAACCCTGAGCACAGAAATCACAGAGACAGTAAACCCTGAGCCGCCAAAGAGAGAGCAAACCCTGAGCCGCCCGAGTGTGTTTCTCTGTGTTTTTCTCCTGGTTCCCAAAAGGTCACACTCCTAACTTGGTCCTACCTCCTAAAGTTCATTGGCTGACAAGAGATTCCCCATCTCTTCCCCCTTTTGGCTAAATAAGAGACTTTTAAACACAATACAAAACTATATACAATAGGAAAAGATATCAAGTATAAAATTAGAACCAGCATAAATAATATTAAATCAAGGAACACATGCTACACGTTTAATAAACTTTCTATTCTAAAAAGTCTAAGTCTCACATTGGAAATGGCTTGGCTCAATTGTAAGAGGAAGGTAACTAAGACTATTTAATCTTTAACTGCATCGAAGGCCTGAGAAGGGAGATAATAGTACTTGAGTAGGCAGGAAGTGCAATCAAGCGAGCAAATCAACTTCCAAAGCGAGCAGTATATGACAGAGACAATTGACTACCTGAGCAATCACCCAAAGTCTCATTTGCAATGTTGAAGCGACCAACTGTGGCTAAGGCCTAGCATAACTGACAGACCATTTGCAGAGGCAGGGAAAGTTTTAGAACTTCTTATCCTGTCTTGGCAAGGTTTGGCAGTCTTTTTCTTGTGTGTCCTGCTTATCCAGTCCAGACACCATGTACCTTGTCAGTGGTCGAGGCATGGGCAGTTCCTTGCCCAAAGGCCAATTGTGCCAAGAGGAAGACAAACTCCAAGTGGAGTGTCTTTAGTGTTCAACATTCTCTCAGGAATAGATTGGTGCTGTCAGGAGCAATCGTGTCTCATTAGGGTTCTCAACAGAACCCTAAGTTATTTAAATGCCATGTTCCACAGATCCTTGAAGTGATTGAAGATTACGTATATAGGCAGAATACAATCTCTACATATCCAAAGAACCTAATTAATCTGACTATATGTATAATAAACATGAACAACTATTGATCTATAATACTTAATACCTGTATAACTTAAAGACTAAGAGTTCATATCAGAATATTAAATAATCTATAAACAACTGTGCAATAAATGAGGAAAATGACCTCAAAATGTAAACAATGTATAAGTAGCTTGATCAGAGGTAGAATTATATAATGCAATATGAAAATATATCATAAAAATTGTATCTATATACAAAATGTCTTAGAGGTAGAAACATGCATGCATACAATCTGACAAAATAGCTTTGTATAGGTGTACAAATATTGTAAACAGAAAAAACAAATATAATTTGAACTTGTATTAATATACAAAAAGCTATACCAATGTAAATTGTCCATAAATAATATCTCACAAGTATTTATTCTATTACCCACTACTATTATTATTAGTGTGAGTAAGTTCACACTAAATTATCTATTATCTCATTCAATTTTCTCTCTCTCTCTCTCTCTCCATATATATATATATATATATATATATATATATATATATATATATATCTATCAGTGCCCGGTGTCCACAGTGCACACAAACCCAACCAGAGGCACAGCATCCCATTCTGGGCTATGGAAGTGGAACCCTAGACTCTCAAATTCCTGCCCTACCCCTGTGCTCAGCACCAACTTCCACCTCCACTCCGGCTCACATTGCTGCTGCTTTACCTGCAACCTGTTCCCAAGCTCCCGGACAAGGCAATGGGGAATCTCCCTCCAACGGCCATGTTTCAGGCTGTTCCCCGATGACAGCTTAAAGTTAGGTTTGTATTATGTGCTTTCAGGGCTGCAGCTGGAGTGTCTTTGAGTTTATAGCAGTTGGTGTTGTTTCTATCTTATTTTAAAAGGCTTTTCTGCACAAGCATAACATTGCACGCCTGTTATCTTAGCCTGTGGGAGGTAGAGATTTGAAGATCCGAAGATCAAGGCCAATCCCCATTGCACAGCAAACTTAAGACCAGTCTGGGATTCCTGAAACCCTGCCTCAGAAAAACAAACCAACCTTCTTCTTCTTCTTCTTCTTCTTCTTCTTCTTCTTCTTCTTCTTCTTCTTCTTCTTCTTCTTCT